AATTGTGCTGCAAGAGGGCGTCCTCATTCTTGTAAAGTGAGAATGTTCTTCTTCTCAAAAAACAGAAGTAAAAGTGCAGGGCTTTTAGAAGAAGAAGAAGAAGCTGTTTTGTCATTGTACAGCATACAACGAAATTTCGTTTGGCAACATCTCTATAATAACAGTAGTAGTTGCAGCTGTAGTCGTAAGAATATTTTAAATATTTTAAAAGGGCAGCAAAATAAAGTTCAGATAAGATTTTTGATTTTAGGTTGCAGCTGCAGAGATCACCCTGTGTTGAAACTCAGTGTCATGAATTTAACTAAAACCTCTATCCCGAAGTCAAAACATTTTCTTAAATACTTAGACTTTCATTTCATGTCAACGTAAGTCGCATGATGTCATCTCTAACAGTGAATACAAAGCCACAGTGGCTGGTAGCTCCACCGTAGTTGTTCTTACCTATTGGAAATCCCAAGGCAAAGTCATTGCTTTGTGTTGCAAATATGGAGAAGAGCCCAGCCTTGCTGTAGCGACTCTCAGGACTGGAAACCATCAGTGTCAGGACGCAGACCAGGAAAAAGACAGACACCTTGGCGATGAGGATGCTCCAGAGAAAAGGCCAGACGACATTCTCAAATTCCAGCAGCACCATGTTCTTAAACAGCAGCGCCGGCAGGGCAAAATTGGAAACAAAATTTCCCAATCCTTTGGCCTGGGTGGAGGTGATGATGTTTGCCCTCCCTGCGATATATCCACACAGGATTATCCCAAAGCACTGCAGCAGTGCTGGGAAGAGCTTGTCAATGGACATGCTGTAGGACAGAGCAGCAGGGTCCTGGACTTCCTCCTTCTCTTCATACGAGAAGTTGAACCTCTGCGTCATCATCGTGATGTGTTTTCAGCCCGTCTGTGTGGTCATGTTAATGATTGATATGATGATTAATAATATATTAATTACATTATATAAATAATATAAAAACAAAGTTAAGGAGGACAAATATATATTCATATATATATATATATATATATATATATATATATATATGGCTATTTAAGAGATTCTAATTTCAGAACCTCCACGTTCAATATATTAGTGGACTTTGAACTACAACATGTACGACCATGTACAACCCTCTCACTTCAATTTAAATAAGAAGGTTGATTTTCAAGAAAAAGAAATGTGTTACTTAGTCGTGTGAAGTTAGTCACATAACAGCTTAGTTATTAAAATTCTCCTCACCTTCCTGCTGCTGTTTCTTTTCTGCTGCTTCACATCGCTGTCCGCGGCTGCTAACAGTTAGCACGCTTGCTAAAATTAGAAAACACGTGACACTACCGTGAAGAAGGCCCACTGACAAACACTGCTCTTGGCATCATTGTGGAGCAAACGCTATCTTCTGTGACCAAACGGGTTTTTTTTTTCACAAGTCCAGGCAGCAACAGCTTTCATAACACGTTTTGTTAACAGACTATTACAACAGCAGTGTAAACACAGAGGGCGTGGTCAACACGACGCAGGGGCGTGGTCTTATCTGATCTCGTTTTGCTCTCTCTGTGAGAGTCACAACGTGAACATTGAACAAATGTTTAAAGAGAAAAATACGGCGAAGGGATTTTGTATTTACGTTGACAAACATAATTGTGTTTTTATAAAATAAACAAATATTCAAACATGTAAGGAACTTTACTTAAAACATCTAAGTAATAACTAAGTTGTAGTTAATAGTAAATAGTTTAGTAAGAAAGTTAGGACAATTTAAAATAGTAGGTAAGACAGGAAGCGGAAGGAAACATTAAACACACATTTCTTTTAATCAAAATTTTATTGAGATTTAAATTTCAGGGTCCCTGGAAATAAAAGAACGCTGGGGAACACTGTAGTGTCAACCAATCCGGTGACGATTTTGACAAGTTAAAATGTAACCACAGTGAGCAGCGCACTGTTTCATAACAAAAGCAGATATCTGCATATTTATTTGAATAGCAAATACTTAGATGACAAAGTAAACAGTAGACAATGATTCTGACAGCTGGTGTTTAACAAACAATCAACTATCTAAATCTCAGAGGCAAGAGTGAATATAACTTATATAAGGAATACATGTATTTTAATAAACTATCTGCGCACACATACTTATAATATCCAGAAAATGCACTACATAAATAGACATATCAGCAAAATAAAACAGAATGGTAGGTAGATTTAAAAAAATTAAAATGACAAAAAAATGAGTTTATTACATTGTTCCCTTTTTGTACATAAAGGAAATGCCTAGTTAAAAATTAAATTGTACACAACAAAGGAAAGTCAGTAGAACTGTGATATATAATGAGTTGAAGTTAACATGAACACATGATGTTTGTACTGTACATACAGTATACAAAATTAGCTTATCTTCAAACATCAACATATAAGCAGATATCTGTGTATTAGCATAAATGCTAATTGAGGCAACTGGCTGGTTATTTGGTGGCATGAAGGACAATGGTCGTCTGTGATATGTTGTATAATGAACAACAAACTGGACAGAGGCCTTTAGAGCATGCTCAGCTCAATAAGGCGCCCGGCAAACACCCCTAATGTTCCAATGAGACACACAGCCATGAAGACACACAGCAGAATGTGATCCAACACCATGGCCACAAACTTCCACTCCTCAGCAGCCTGGATTAACGAACAAATAACAGAAAAAACATGTCAGATAATAAAGGCCAAAAATCAATGTGGCAGCATGACAGAGATTCTCTCAGAGTCATTACATTGTTAGATTCCTCATCAGATTTCATGGTTTCTGCGATGTACTTGACTCCTTCAATGGCACTGCGAACATCAGGGTTCTTGGTAATGGGAGATTGGTAAGGGACGGCAGAGATCTGGTTGCCGGAAATGTCAGAGATGTCCATGTCAGGACCGTAGATGCTTTTACTCTGCTTTTCTTTACCTGGGCGCTTCATGGTTGAGAAGAACATGATGTTGGGGATGGTTTCAATGAAAACCTGCTCAAAACAACAAAATAGATGTCATTTAGAATACTACCACAGCAGGTATTCTGTAACTTTACCGCTAGATGTCAGTCTAATGCAGCGGGGAAAAGAGGTAAGAATAGTTTCAAATAATCTCAAAGTATGTATCTGTATCAGAGGTATTTATCGTTATGTACGGAACTGACTGAATCTATCTATCTATCTATCTATCTATCTATCTATCTATCTATCTATCTATCTATCTATCTATCTATCTATCTATCTATCTAAAAAATACATTTGTGTGAATGTTGGTGGCTTGTTAATACAAGTTTAATAATACAAAAATCTAAAAAAACACCCCTGCAGTACCTCCGCTGTCAGCCTGGGGTCATTCAACCCCTCCCTAAAGACTTCCACTGTACACTGAAATATACTGTAATGTAGTGTTTGTAGTCCGTCAGCTCTTCAGTAATATCATAAGTCATTATTTGTCCTCACCTTGCGGACCCAGTCTGGCATAGTGTGAGTGCTTGGAGAGCGATGGTGGGTGTTGATGACAATGACAGTGATGATGATGGAGGCAATGACGAACACCATGGTGAAAAGCATATATTTTCCAATGAGTGGTACAGCGCTGGAGGTGGAGGGGATGAGCTCCACAATGACCAGCAGGAACACAGTCAGAGACAGTAAGACAGAGATGCTGAGAGTCATCTTCTCTCCTGGAAGAGAAACAAAAACACATTATCACCACCACTAATACTAAACACGACGTTGTTTAAAGAACAAACAAGCCACATTGCAGACTTCTCCAGATGTTCAGCTTCATCAATATATGGATTTTGCACATGTATAAGCCTCTTTCGGAGCTTAAAAATTAAAATTCAAACATGAAAGAAATTTGGAATCATCAAACACCTGAGGCAAAATGTATTAATTTTAACAAATGCCCTTGAAAGCCAAGTTTTAGGGTGGGAGGGTTAAAAATTCCCTACAAGCAAATGGATAGCATTTTGTGCTGTTGCACAAACAGCCTGAATTTACTTTGTCTGGTCAGGCCAGGCTACAACATACACGCCATAAAAATGAATAAAATTCATTTTAGGTATCGATAAGTGAAGGGACTGTATGGAATAGCAAAAATCAGCCAAACGAGTATGGCTAGCCAATACCAATTCTACTGTACATGAAACAGAAATAGCTTAGCTTATATGGATTGAAAAAATATATATTCTGACCCAGTTGGACAGGAGTGAGTGAGTCGGCACTGAAGGAGATAGATTTGGCTCTAACTTCTTTTTCAGCTCTCCACTTTCCTGTCAGTGTCTATATCACAAACAGACTTCCAGTGATGTATTATACATTAAAGAGTAGTGCCACTTTAAGACATGACAGCACAGAGGGACTCTGGGTAATGAGGCAGACCAACTCACTGGGAACAAGGCCAGATGTGCACAGTGGAGGGGCAATGGGGGGTGGGGGGGGGAGGGCAACCGAGGCTGACAGGTACCATGAAAGACCAGGATTGTCCAACACCATGTTGATAAATATCACAGTAACAAGGACAATAAGAAACTGAACACTAGGTGGCAGTTTACTGTAGATTTTAACAGCTTTTGACAATTGGCTTGTACTCATTATGTAAGTGCATGTTGTTTTTTTTCTTCTAAATAACAGAGACAGGCTTTGGCTGCGTCCTCCTCCTCCTCCCCCATTCCACATGTTCTGGATGAAGACATTAGCTACGTACTATGGTGTAATCAGTGATAGTGATGCAAATACTCCAAATCTCTCTCCTGAATGACTGAGACTACGGACTAACCAGAGTCAGTTGGCAGATAGAAGACCAGGCCGGTCAGGAAGGAGAAGAGCATGCAGGGGATGATGACGTTGACAATGAAGTAGAGTGGAAGCCTCAGCATGAGGAAGTGGTAGGTGATGTCCAGGTAAGGAGTGTCCGGGCAGCAGGCATAGAACACCCAGTGTTTCCAGCTGCGGAAGTCCTTCATCACCCACTCTCCACTTTCCATGAAGTTGCTGAGATCAGGCTTGTCGCTGTCCTGGAGAAAAGGAAAATAAAATAATAGGATAATCATAATAGGTGCAGTAAACACAACAAATACAGCAGCAGAAAAAAAACAGGACCTTTAATTACTATAAGGTCATTTAATTTGTGTTGACATTTTAAGGGAATATTCAGTGTCATATGGTTCTATGATGGTCCTGGAAACTTTACAATATCTACTATTTACTGTTTTATTTCTTATGCTAAACCTGTGGTTCTCAAATATTTTTTGTCAAGCCCCCTCTTGTGGACAGAACTGTTTTCACGCACCCAAACGACCCCCCCCCAATTGAAATACTATTGAGGACTTGATAACATGTATATTTTTATCTGTACAAAACACTGTATGAGTTGCTGCCACCTAGTGGCTATCATTCAAGCATTACAGCAGTGGTACACTTATGTCCAGTGTGCCATATTCTATTGGAAGCCCCTCACACTATTTTAAAAAGTACTGTGCTAAACTAAGACAAGCTGAGCTTCTTCCTAGCAAGTCAAGCTGAGCCCATAAGCTGTTTTTCTTTTTAATAAATCGTACATGGTGTGTATTTCTACTACTGTGAAACACATTTTTCCTGTTAGAAAAAGAATTACAGGATTGATGACGACCAGGTTTCCATCGTAGGTCCAGGTGCCCAGCTTCATGCTGCAGTTCTGGAGGTCAAAGGGAAAGTGCAGCACAATGATTTCACAGTAGCTCTTGAAGATGGCAGGTGGGTTCCACGTGATCATCCCGGTGTACTCCAGCAGCACTTTGGTCTCATGTACAATGGCAAAGTCTCCGTCAGCACTGGAGACACAGAGCAGCAGGACAACATCCACATTAATGTTAACAAAAGAAGACATCAGCCCCCGAGGAGAGATCGTGATGCCGCCACAGCAATCAACCAATCAGCACTCACGTTGGCACTAGTTGTCGTGGCAGCAGCAGAGCTAAGTGTCAGGGGAAGAACAGCAGAGTGGAAGTTGTAGCATATGGTGTGGGGAAAGGTGGGGGTAACTGGGGCAACTGAGGCAAGGGCAGATTTAGCCAGATGTAATCTGAGCGTTTACACAGTGAAGTGTGGAAAAGTGGGATTCAAACCATCACTGTCAGGTGTGCTGAGTGCTTCTATATCTGTGGTTGCTATAAAATATACATTTTATATATAAATATACATTTAATACACTTTAGACAGAAATGGAACATGGGTAAAAAAAGTACCCCCCCCCCTTCCTAGCATACTTGTTGTAGAGAACCAGATCAGGTCGCCAAATGTCAGTGGAGGGAACTCTGATCTTTTTAATGCCACCATAATCCTCGGGGTCCCACTGTAAGTTCACGTCTTTCCATTGCTGGGAAAACAAACACAGTACGGGCAATCAGAACAATGGGACATTAGGACATGCATGAATGGCATGCAACACATTTTTTATTGGTTGAAAATAAAAAAATCAAAGGAACCAAATAATACATTTTTCATGAATATTTTTTATAGCCAAGGTTTTAATAGCTAAAAGCTTCAACATGTACTGTATTCAAATGAAATATACAATATAATTTCATATAATTTCAATAACATGGATCACACCTGTTTGAGTCGCACATTACTGCTGACGATCTGGTTGACCTCATCCTGTGGACACAGTGTATTCACACAGTTGAGGTGACAGTCGTTTTTTAGTGCAGCACAGGTGAATGACAAACAACATGAGAACCCACCACACTGATGAGCTGGATGAGCTGGAGGCCCACAGTGACCACCACCGGTTCTTTGAAGTGATTGACAGGTCGGACCACTTTGTTGTAACCAGTGAAGAGAGTTTTGACCAACTTTGTCTCATCCGAGGAGGAGCAGGCGAGACCTGAGACAAACAGGACATGATGGACACAGGAGAGGAAAGGTTGAAACCACTGGACCAGCGTGAAATTAATACAGTCTGTGCCACGAGAATATCAAGGTAGCTACAATTGAGTTAAAAAGTCAAAAATGTTTTACATGTTGGCCAAATCAATACCAAAAAACACACTAATATTACCTAACAAATAGTGGAAAGTAGCATCCAGTGATTCTGTGTTCTGAGTTCAAGACTTTTTATTTCATTAAAATGGAATTAAACATATTGTTTATTTGTCTGTTTTAAATAATAGGAAAACACATTTGTATTTACTTGTCTAAACACTTTTGGATAATACTCTACTACTAGATAGTGTTGTTACTAGAACTAGTAATAGTATTACAAATGAATGAAACCAATGTAAAAAAATAAATAAATGCATGTTGAAACTATTTATATTTATGTAGCGTATGCAGAGTGCAGTCTAAATGTGGCCTTGTTCCATCCACACATGGCTCCCCTGTAAAGAAGGTGTTAATAGAGATATTCTTATACTCTTTCCACAGCTACATGTATATGTGTCACGAGCCACCGCCACAGGATCTGGCTCTCCACTCTCCAGCTGACCTTGAACTCAAGGTCATTCTCACAAAAACATGCTGTGCTTGAATGATTCTTTAGGCAGTGAACTCAGTAAACTCCAAAACATCATTTTACAGGCGACTTCATGTGTTATAAAAACACTGCACACATACAGGTAAATGTTAAAGATTCAAAAGGAAACACACGGGTGCTTATCAAACAAAGATGAAAGTTATACAGTTATTTAACATTGTCGTTATCAGGCTGCTTTTGTTCAGGTTAGCGGCAGTCTAATGACAAATCAGCAAAATAAAATAATTTAAAAAATAATTTTGCATACTTCTAATTACATGAAACAAGAAAAGCAAAAATAAACAAACAAACAACAACAAAAAACAAACCCACAGACTAAGCCAAGAAGCAGCAGTTTGAGGATACTTCTGAAGTTTAGTCCTTACCTGCCAGACTGACCAGTTGAAGAACAAAGAAGAGAGTACTCATTGTCATCAATGAATTCAGGCCAAGACAATATCCAGCTGCAGCACGTTGTCTGTCGACCACCTGACGGTGAAAAAGTTCTGACCTTCTTAAAACATTCTTTCAGCACCGGCCGCTGACTTCCTCCACGACAGCAGCCTCTCCTTTGGCAACCTTGATGTTTATGTATGATAGTGGACGTGAGTGAGCAGCTGCCAATGCTTGTCATCTGAGAGGGTCACATTCTTAGTCATCTGTTAGTAGATCATCATGCCACGATGATCCAGCACCGGAATATCCCAGAGCATGATTTCTCCACAATAACAGTTGTCAAATGTCTGGTGTAATAATATTTATTACATTTGTACTGTTAGTACTGTTAGTACGACTACTACTACTACTAATAACAATAATAATAATAATTATTATTATTATTATTGCTGCCCTCGACATGTGTTTTCTCCTCAGTAACAATGATAATTAGATTACATTTACATTCCTCTCTCAGCGCTGCTCAAAAAAAGCTACATTTTTCCAGAAACAATAAATAATAACAGAATGTCGCATATCTGTGGTTCTCCAGGGTTCCAGGTGTTATTACCGCCACCCCCCTCCTCTGCTCTGCCCTGCCCTGTTCAGCCCAGCCCAGCCCCGCACCCCCCTTCAGGTCTGTAAAGGGTCAGGCAACTCAATTTCCTCACATCTCCGATCCGTTCAATCAACCAGTCACTCAACCACAGGCCTCATTCATCTCACTTACAGACAAATGACCATGTTGGCAATGTTGGAATTAGGAGAGATCTGTCTCACCCCCACCGCCTCCTGCTGTGTTGTACCATATAAACAGCCTTTTACTGAGATTCTCCCTCTTAAAGCTGCCTGTTACCACCAGTGAAAGGTTCAATGGGCCTGAGTTAAAATGTTGACGCAAAATCTGCAGTAAAAACAATTATTACGTTTAGCTTCAGTTCTATTTATTTAATACAAACTCTTTGTGATTTTTTTTTTTTTGCATTTTTATCACCATTCAAAAAACCCAAACATTTGTTTTGCTCACAGCTGCTGATAGATTCTAAGGCTAAACGAGCAAAAAAACATTTGAAATGTATTCCTATCTGCTGTCATCAGAGGGGGAGGAGGGATGGCTAGTGAAAGGTCAGTGAGGTCATGGATCAGAGCATTTCAAATTCTGTTTCATTACTCTAAATAAGGCACACTCACCACACAATTCATTCAGTGGACACTAATCCACCGAGCTGTTATCACTGACATCAGACGACTGAGCGATGGGGAGGACAATATCTTTATTGGCACGGTTTACCTTTTCTCCATGGTCAATACCCAATGTAGACAAAAGTATAGCACGTTTAAAATTCTCACTAATGGTTGGGGGTGGGGTGGGGCGGAAGGCGGGGGGGCTTAAACGGTTGGCTGAAAATCCAATTTTGCCTCACAATCACCAGAGACGAGACTGAATTCAGCTCGCATTAAGTCAGTGTGATGTGGTCGCACAGCCGTATCAATTAAATGTCAAGCAGCGATTGCTTCACCGAGGCCTCGTAGGTTAAGATGGAAGACAACGCTTCAGGTAAACACAAGAAGAGGCTTCAGTGACACCACGTTTATATTTGAGCAACAACTGATTTGTTCATATTTAGTTCTAGGTTTGTGTGAAAGCTTCAATAGTCGGTAAATGTGATCCTGATATCATTGATAGCTGTTCTTGGAAATTGGATGAAAAGGGAATACTTTGAGAAATGAATCACATAAATAATAGCTGACATGGCTTGTACTCATACCCAGTAATTAACAGACTCCCTGGTGCTACAGTACTCTGCCCCAGGAACTGTGTGCCTGGCTGTAATCACACACTAGATTACTGTGAGCGATGTGCTCTAAGGGGTTTATTTCAAGGCATACGTTTCGTGGCTGCTATGAACAATCAAAAATGCATCATCAATCTGATTATTTATGGCCATAAAAATGACAATTAAGCATCGTGTCCTGTTGTTCATCAATGAGTTCATAACCAGGAGGTATTTCTTCTAGCCACTGGGAGGCATGGCCGGCTCTGTGGTCAGTCGCCTAGAGCGCAATCTGCGGTGCCACCAGTCATTCAATTATATGTGTGTTGAACTGTGGGAGGAAACAAACTGGGTCGAGCCAGCCCTGCTCTCAGGACATGGTTGGGAAATATAACAAGGAAATTTTTAAATGAAATCCAAATGTAGTGTCGGAACACTGCTGGACAATGGCACACAGGCCTGCAGTCCTTCAAGGTCAGAACAGACATGAGACAGACATTCTCTGTTCTGAAAAATCAGAATACTGGAGAGAAACCAGTGACAAACAGGAAGGCATCTCACTTTTAGATCAAGAAAATGCTGAGTCAGACTCACTAAGCATTTAGTTTACAGTAAGGTTTAATAAATTAAAGCGATCATGCACAAGTCTGTACAAAATCATTACATTTAAAAAAAATTAGGCTCACAGATAGGGCTGCTTTTAAGACAATAGAAATGTTACAGTCAGGAAAAAGGACCAGAGTTTACTCAGAAATAGGAAAGACTAAGAAATCCACTAAGAAATCCAAGTTACATAAAAACAGCTGAGGAGACTAAAAAAAATACAGCATCATAAAAATGATCCCAGAAAAATCAGTAGCTTATTCTTTTCATGTTCAGCTATACAAAGTTTCACAGAAATAATTGCACAGAGGCAGCTGGAAATGTGGGAGCACCACCACTACACACAGGACAGAAAGAAAAATCACAGCACTTTAAAACCATGCCGGGTCACAACTACAGAGAAACTAAGACGTGGCAACCATGCAGCTGAGGAGTCAGTGCTGAAAAATCCCCCGACAAAAATGGGGAGACAGAGCAGAGTACGTACAAGTGAAGGGAACATCTGTCCACACCCACGCGGGTTTGGAGCGACGTTAGATCAGCACTGGTCCATACGCAGGGCGTTTAGAAAACGTATCAGTACGAAGAGCGTTTAAAGAAGAGAACGATTAGAGAACTGTTCTATCAAAAGTCCTGCTCTGGGTTTAGAACAGCACGTCTTCCTTTTTAATCAGCATCTCCACCACCTGTCTCTGGTAGCGGATGTCGTTGAGTGCTGTTATGGCGTCCGCGTCCGGTGAACGCAGGAGGGTTGGACCAAAGACAATGGCCAGGTTCTCTGCGTTCATCAGGTTAAACTTTTCGTTCAGTGTCACCCTGCGCACAAACACAATCAATAGAAATACAAATCAATTCATCAAACTGTATTTATATTCTTTTTATCCAAATCTCAGTGCAGCTGTAACAGAAGATCTCAGCCAATCCTAGGAGTCAAGGGCGGGACACACGCAGAGACAACCACTCACAGCCAGTCATAATAACCTGCTTGTTTTTGGACTGTGGGATTAAACCAGTCTACTGTTACTGTAGAAAACCAACTCACACACACAGGAAGAACACACTGACTACAATATACAGTCTGCAGACATAAAGAAACACACATTGAACACAATATTGAACTTTCCATAATTGCAGAGGAAATGAGAAACACTTTACTGTCACAGATGTCTCACTGCGGTCCTCACCTTTTCAAATGTCCCATGAGGTACCTGAGAGTTTCACTGTGTGACGGCGGCAGCAGAGACAGAGCCTCGCGGAACGCTTCAAGCTTCTTCTCTGGGTCGGTGACCTCTGAGAAACAGACGGGAGCTGTGATCAGATACACTGTGTGACCTCACAGGATATGATCAGAAATCAATGTAAGGATTATCTATGATGTAATACAAGCTGGTCCAGGGGAGGACGTCTGAGGAGGGCGGGCTACTTGTATGGTTTTTAGCACTGTGGAGAACCTGATGTTCTATATGTAGAACTGAGTCTCATTTCTGTGGCTCCGACTTACTGGCAGCTTCAATGAACCTGGGGTAAGCATCGTATGAGATTACAGGAACAGGCAAATCCCTGAGGTAGAGTTTGAGTGCGCCCGTTATGATATTGATGTCTTCATAGGCGTTCACTGAGATGTCTGTCTTCTCGCCATCTGTGAGGATGTGAGTGAGAATGAGGGAGACAAGAGGAAAATTGTCACGCTGTAGAAATATCACCCACATCAGCACTTTTGCAGCACAGAGACTGTGATTCAGTGGAGGCAAAAAACAAAACACCAAAAAAAAAAAACCCATCTCCTGCTCCTGATCTGTCTTTCTGCAGAGCAGCAGCTATCATCTCCCCCCGGCCTGTTTTCTTCTGACTCCTACTCAGTTATGCATACCATCCAGAGAGGGCCATGGCCTACTTGTGCTGGCAGACTGAACATCAGAGTGCTGTGAGCTGGAATGACACTCTGTCATGGATGATGTCCCACATGTGGATCTGGCAGGGTTTATTCCACTGCTGAAAGCTTTTCCTTCAGTTTAAATTCACATGCACTGGGTCAAGACGGACTTATACTCACTCAGACCATGACTGAATCCCAACAATGTTAAAGTTTCTACCATCTGGGACGTGGGTTTCCTCAGGTCTCTGCTGTCTGTCAACAGTTTACTCAATAGACGGTGTATTACTAGTGGACAGAGGAACCAGATTTTGAAGTAACTTGGTTTAGAGACTACAGTATATGTTAAATAAGAATGGATGGACCTCAGTCACAGTTGCAGAAAAAGACTAGAACTATAATGTAGAACTGTAGAACTGTGAGTCAGTTCTACGACAGTAAAGTAATGACATGTTGAGGATGAATAATGTTTAGAGGATGTGATTGACAGCTGGATTGTCCAACAGCAGCCCAATGATGGTAAATGTCACTGACAAGGCGAATGTTCTCAGCAGCAGCAGTCGCTCCAGTCCTACTCATCCATCTAACTGTCAGCCATATCCAGGGTACAAATTTATGTGTCCTCTAATTTTTATCTTCTTTTACTGTTCGAACATCTATTATTTATTAAGCAGACCTAATATTCAACATGCAATTTGCAAGTGAGACCATAAAATTTTAATGAAAACAATTACTGCAGAGACAGTATAAATCAATGGAGGTTTCATTCTTATTATTCACTCCCATTTTCCATACATAAATATACATAGAACATCTCCTCTGTCAAGACTGGACATCGTGGCTGACTTCCACTGCGTCACATTCAGATATAGTGGAACTGTGTAGCTCTGTTTATGAAGCATTATTAGTATCTGGTTCTAGTTTGGTCAACGGAAGTTTGATTGATTAAAAAATAAAAAATAAATCATGTATTCATTTTTATTGAGATACTGTATGTGACTGATGTCTAGATCATCAAGTGTGGTGCATAAAACAGCTTGAACCTGTTCTTAAAAATAACTGAAGAATGTTTACATGTTACATGTTAACTCCCACAATAGCATAAATAGATTTTTTCCAAAAATACTGCAGCAAACCCATTCTTTTCTAAAGCTTCTTCTGCATCAGTAGCCTGAACACAGAGCCCTCCGTGTGTTTCCTACTTAAAGTCGACAGTAAAACCCTTCGTGAGAAAAAACACGTCCTCCGTGCAGATGGACACTAATCCTTCACTAATGTGTCACTTTCTCAATAATCTTCAATGTTCCGTTCATCAGCAAACGCTCAACAGAACGCGTTGTCAGTCACCGCGCTGCCAGCTGACAAAATATACAACAGGAGAGAAACCCACCTTTGTCAAACGCCGACTTGACTTCTTCCACCGAATCACTGAATCCAGATATTCTGTAGAGGCCTTCAGACTTCAGTCCTGGGGGGACACACATGACACAGACAAACGTTGTCAGGACTGTCAGAGGTAATGTAGAAAAATCCTCCTGCGTGTGTCACCATAGGCAATTTAGAGAAAAATCCATTGGAGGATCTTAAATATGCATAAGAAAGTAGAGGATAAAATGTCAGCGTACACTGCAATGTCACACAAGTGAACGACAAGGGCAGATGCAAAACAGTTTTCTGCACCAGTGGGTAAAAAAATAAAGACATAAATCATGCTACAGATGTGTGGGTGGATGTGTGTGCTTGTGTGTGGGTGTGTGTGTGTGTTGGGGAAGACAATAAGGGAGCAATGAGTTTTCCACATTGCAGAGTGATTTAACAGAAATGCAATCAACAGAGGCAGCAGGAAACAGACTAATGTATTTCTCATTACAGGTTTAAATTACCAGCAGCACTCATTAGTCTTCCAGTCAACACCCCACAAAACCAAGAGCAACAATGACTGTAATCTTCCTTTAATAACCTCAATCTGTAGCTGTGTGTATACTTTAAAAAACTGAATCATCTGAAAATTGATGAACCATGAAAACAATAAAATATTGAAATAAATGTAAAAACTATTATTGACAACAAAACAAACAAACAAACAAAAAAAAAAAACACCCAGAGCCTCCAGCTATCCTTGCCAACAAACGTTTAATTATCAAAGTATTTTTGAAAAATTAGCCAAAAACCAATTACCATTGACATACGATTATAATAAGAGAATAATGTATTACTCAACAAACATTTATACATTTATAAAATACAAAACAAACAATGAACATGACGTCATAACCTAATAAAACAGACTGCTTGTAAAATATGTTATAAATAAAATAGCAGACCTTCAAGATTCTAAATTTAACAGTAATAATTTAACTAGAATGCAATTTTGTGTATTAAGCTTTTAATTTATTTAAAATTCATCTTCAATCCTGAATACACTTGATGACCATGACCCATCAGTTTACCCACACTGTAGATCAATTACTGTAAATCAACATGGAGCCTTTTACAGCAACAGTCATAAAGACTGTAAAAATGAAGAATGGACTCATTTTTAAATGGAATTTTAACACAGCAGCTTTGACCCAGTTTTTCAGGTTATTATATGTATTAAATAACAACATTTAAATTGTTGTATTTCACTGTCTTGAGGCAACATTAATAAGATGAAAAAAAAGTTTTGTCATATACTTGCTCTATGTGAAAATGCTACAGTAAAAAAAAGCAATTTTGTGTATTTTCCCCCCAACTCACTACAAACAGCACACTGCAATATATTATGACCCCGATTTTTGAACCTACATCAGTAGAAAAATAGTAAATAATTCTATGTGTTTCTATGGGATTATTCTTTGTGAGAATATGCACATAGAAACCCAGTGCCATTCGTGGAAAACTCACCTCTGGATTCGATCTCTCGGATGCACATGTCCACCACCATTGGTCGCGCTGTGTTACAGGCTCTCACCAGCGTTGTGAGGTCACAGCTGTAGATTTTGCGGATGTGTTTCAGGTCTGGTTTGCAGTCATTAGGTACCAGAGAGGAGCACTGTTTGTGGACGTTCATCCCACAGTCTACAGAGAGAGAAAAGTCGGATCATCTTTGTGTTTCAAGGATATTTCAGCAGTGGTTGAAAGGTTTCGCCTGTTTTTTTCATCAACATTTGTTGTCTGAATGTCACACAATCACAGGGGAGCACATTTTTCTCTACCCATTGCCTAGAGTCACCTTGAGTCTAGCATTAATCCAATGTCACCTCCAGAAGGCAATTCAATTATCACATAAAAACAAAATAAATAATATACAGAAATGAACCTGAGAACAGGACCATAATCATGTCATTTAATTTTAACATTCAAGACAAAACATGCCCCAAAACCTTTGAATGGAGGTGTAAAAAATTACCACACAAGTAAATGAATGTAATTGTTATTTTGTAGAAATCTATAAATAGAGCAGCAGTGATCATGTTGGTGTAAATATATCCCACAGTGTGGATGCATCCTCAGGCACGGACGTTTTAGGGTAGAATTCACCTTGTCGGAAACAGGGTAGCCTGTAGAGAGCAGACAAACGGAGCTGCAGCAGCTCTGCTTGGGAATTAGAGGAGCAGTGAAAATACTGTGGCCTGGAGGGGGAGGATGAAGAGTCAGCACTGCTGCTGCTGCTGCTGCTGCTGCTGCTGCTGCACACTATGTTTTTTCCATATAACACAATGGCCATGGAAGCAGCGGTTGAGTCGCTGCGGGCTACACTAGACCTACATTTCCAGATTAAAATAGGCCAGTTCTTGAAGCTCTTACATTTTCACTGCGTTTCTTTTGAATTGTAAAGGTGGAATTTTTTATTTATCCAAGGGGTAAAGGAAATATTAAAACCCTTGCTTCAAGATAAAATTGTTTTTCAAAAGCCATGAATCTAAGCCTCAGCAGGACTCCAGACAATATTTTGATTAATATGGGTCCCTGGAGAAATTGGTGCAGTCTGCATCTGTATGCAGCGATGCAGAAATGTAATTACCTTAAGAGATGATTCTCTTAAGGACATGAGACAGGCAGTATAATAGAGGAGAGCCTGTCATCAGTCTGAGCCGCTGGTGTCCATGTGAACACGCTGATAGCTCTGGTCCCAGGTGGGACAGTCGAGGTTAAAGAACGGTCCCTGGAGGCAGCAGGGACCAGGCGTCAGTAGACAGGAGGTACTGTTTGCTGCTGTGTCAGCTCTGTCTGTGTCAGCGTGGCTGCACTTATGGCTTTCCCGTCAGTGAAAGGTCAAGAAATGGGTTTATAGATTGTTTGCTGATAACCAGCAGAATCAACTAACAAAAGAAAGAAATGGAACACAAAGAATTTAGTAAAATATATGTTTTGATTATCTTATGTTTACAGTTTATATATTTGGATGTTCAGAATTGATTGTTTTACACAAAGCTTCCTATCAGTGTTTTTCTAAAGCATATTTATAGATTGTTTTAATTGCTTTTCCTTTTCCTGGGTACAATGACAATAAAGATGATAATGATTCTAAAAATACAGAAAAAGAGAAATTCTAAAATATAAGCTCTTGTCTGCTAAAAAACAAAAACCTTCTGTGAATTCACATTAAAAACAAACCACTTTTACAGTGCATGTACAGTACTCTACTTATTATATATATGATTTATTTGTTGCACTTTAGGTCAAATATATATAAGATATACATAAATAGATACATAGATACATAAATAGATGTTATTATATTTTCAGCTACCATTCAGTATAAAACTGTGGAGCTGGTGCCTCACATGCCATGAACATCACTGCACGTCGCTGCCACACGGCGCAGCAGCAGCTTGTTAGCGCTAATTAAAGCACTCCAAAATCAAACAGTGTTGTCAAAATCCCTCAAATAACACAATTACAACAAAGGAAAGGGGGAATTCACTTGTTAAACAAATAAAACACACAGCAGGTATGAAATATACCAAAGGTGGAAACTCCCGTTTGCTCAACCAACAATGCTAACAGCTAGCAGGCCTATTCCCGAACTACCAGAGACATTTACTTTTGTAAACGCACTGATTCCATTCTTTTCATTGTACACTTCTACATAGGCAATAGTCAAAAGCTTCAGTTGAGCCACAACAAAAGTCTTAACTGAAGCAAACTGACAGTGCATACCAGTTGTAACCAGTCTCCTTCTGACAGGATCTAGAAACAAAACAACCCCCCCCAAAAAAACACCTCGTTCGTTGGATGTTTTGGTTTTTGTACAGAGCATTTAAGTTAAATTGAGGTTGAGCAGTGTGACCCAGCTCTTTAGTGGAAGCTGCTGAATTTTAATGTGTGTGGAAACAGAAGCTCCTTCCCCATGCTTGGAGCTGGGCTCCTCATTAAAGAGACATGCCAGTTTTGTTTTCCTTCATGGGCATGATGGGATGAGGGTGGGTGTGAGTATGGAGGTGGTGGTGTTGGTGTTGGTGCTGGGGTTGTAATCAGATGAAGAAATGTGGCACAACAAGCAGCAGCAGAGGCTGGCTCCCTGGCACCCAGCCAAAGCAGTTCACAAATAAAAAAAGAAAAAATAAGGGGAGCGGGCGGCGGGTGGGGGTGGGGGAGGGAGAACATTTTTTGGTATGCAAATGTGGGTGTCATGTGATCCTTCGCTGCCCTAGTTTTGAGCAGCTGAGGTGGAGTCTGAAGGAATTGCAGTGTATTGAGTCAATAAAGAGTGGCTTCATACACAGAGCTTTCAAAATCAAAACATTAAAATTTCATATCAGAGCCCCTGCAGAGTGTGACACACTTTGTTTCATCAATAAAACATCACAGAAACATCAGATTGGATTATGGTGCTATTCAGAGAAGGATGAGAAGCCATAAAGGGAATGGAAAAAAAGCTACCTGAAACAAAATGAGAAAAAATACAACAGGGATTTCTTTTTCTACAATAACCTGAGTGTAACCGTACAAAACAACATTAGTGATATGATAGAAAAAAATAATCTTAAAAATTATCTAAAAACTGAGCTAGTAACAAGAATTATTATTATATTTTATACTCACACTGGACTAGAATGTAATGCTATTGTTTTTTTAAGAACAATGGAAAATGTATTTGCATCAAATTAAGCTACAATTTTGCAAAGATTTATTTTCAAACACCTTCAGTTTTCTACTAAGGCTAGGTTTAGGCTAATCCTACTAAAAACAACTCTGGCTGCCTGTGTGGCTTTTTGTAAATATTTAGGTACTATCTTTTATATTCTCTATAACCATTTATCATAATGTAGTAAACATAGAGACATTTTGTTTAAAACAACAGTAAACATTGTGTTCCTTCTGAATATGAAGCTGTACAAAACAGAGTTTCACTTGTTACCTGGACCACATGAGATTTACTGTAGAACTCACTTTTCCCTTGACACCTTGTTGTGATGTTTGTGTGCTCTCCTGGCTACACGACAGCTTACGTCTCTCATGTTGTTTTTTCCATATTCAGTGAAAAAGCTCTTTGCTGTTTTAATCACAAAGGGCGTGAGAACAAGCCTGGTATTCAAAACCCGATTACTCCTTTCACAATACTCGTTAACAAACAAGTAGGCCCTTGGTAAGACTTGTTACATCATTGCTGTGGGGCCAACATGACACTTGCTCCGTTATACAACCTCTAATCCACACACAACTGTTAGGGATTTTAGATTAAATCAGAATAATCCAGCTCCAGATGTATTAAAGACCAAGTAACCCACATGCAGTAATGCTCACTTTGCACACCATTGATGTTATAATAGTGATGTGACCCAATTGAGCAGTTTACATAAGATGTAATTGTTGATGAAATAAAACAAGACGCACCTGCACATTTGACCCCCTGGGCCATGAGTCCCCACATAAAGCTGGCACAGTGTTCACACCAGTGCGGTCCTCGAAAAGTGTGGACCTGCAGCAGAGAAGAAGACAGTGGTGACGCACATTAGTGATGAAGAGGCGTAGGGTGAGCAGCAGGCAGTTTATTCCACAGAAAATACCATCTTCTTTCCTAATAGACAAGAAGGCCTGAGGGTTCTGTCACCTGAAAGCAGGCAGAGGAAGAGGATTATCCTCAAACTGACAATACTGAGGAGAGCTGGCTGCAGCGGTGACTCAAATCAGCGGAGGCTTTGGCATCGCAACACTGTGGGGATTTGACACTTCGCTAGAGAGTGAAGGTGCATGTTGTCAGGGGCAATTTCCTATGGAAACAGCAGAGGGCCAACATGATTGTGTGGGACTGGGAGCCAGCGCTCTCCAGCAGGTAACAACAGTGCAGCCAATCAGGGAGGATTGTGGGAGCCAGAACTCCCCTGATTCCTCTGCATGAAGCCAATAACAGGCACAGGCAAATTCAGTCAGTGTTGTGTAGGATTGTTAATGTCTGCTCTGACATTACATTTATCAATAAAGATAATCATTATGTCCCGCAGTGATGGATCATTTTATTATACGTTTGCAGAAACCAAAGAGTCACAATTTACAAGGTTTTGACCGCACATTTTCCTCAGGATTCATTTTTGACGTTATTGCTCTGTGGCTGTCTTTGAGTGATTGGTATGAATTTCATTGTAAGGACTGAAATTCACACATTTTGTCTCAAAGGACGATACAATCTGTACAAGAAGACATCCACCCACCTAAAAAAAAAAAATGCTGTGTATAACTACATTATACTTGTAGTTATAGTTAAATTAAATATAAAAAAATATATATTCTGTTTTAAATTCAATAGTGTAACAATTATGTGTAGTATAAAACATGTATAACTGTATATTTATACTACATGTTAATTATTATTTTATAATAGTTAACAACGACGAGTGCATACAGATGTGGGTCCCTTCATGCAGTTACACCACACTTGTTTATCTGGCACAGAGTGAAACTGATGACAGTTACATGTTCAAATGTCAAATATGGACAACAGACATTCAAACACACGTGGCATCTTTGGTTATTTTCTTGGAAAAAAAACAACATTGCATATCTGAACGTCCCTTCAGGATGGAGTCCATTTTGGTCAGTTCTGTCTTTTAGGAAAACATCTGGCTAACGTGAGGCTATGCTGTGCCCAGCCTGTGATCCCGGGCTGACAACAGGAACAAGTCACTTAGCAAAATACTCAACCTTAAATATTTTGTTTGTGCCATGAAATACATATCTTATTTCTTATTTTAAAATGTAGATAAGAAAATTATATTTTTAAACATTAATTTCTTGTCCACCGACAGTTTTCTGCCACAGAAATAAAAATAACATTAAATATTTTCATTCCATTGGCTAAAACACAATTATTAATGGCTTGTTGCTGCTCTACTTGCCCTTGTCAATATTATACTGTAGGTGATGGAAGTATTGACAACAAATATTTTTCCACCTGAAATCATTTTTACCATTTTTAGGATCACATCATTTTAAGTAATTTTAATGCATTCACTCAAGGAAACTCAAATGAATGGAAAGAATGTCAATACATTTAACCAGTAGAATCAATAGAATTCAATAAAAACAATTATTATTCTAAATAATACCATTACTAATATAAATACAAAAAGTATAACTGTATTTTCTTTAAAACACTGCTTTCATTAAAAGAGTAGTTTTCAAAGGCCTGAAAACTAAAATTCCAAGATGTTTGATTGTGTTGTACATTAACATCTACTGTACTTTGGAGAGATCATTAAAAGATCGGAAATGTTGTAATGTTAAGTTCACCACATTCAGGTAATAAAGCAGCAGCAAGGGAGCAGTGGGCATCAGCAGTTTAAAAAGAGCTTAAAGGCAACATTTTACCTCCATCCCATTAACCAGCTGAGGTCGGACAGAGGGAATGTGCCAAACGGGAAAAACAGCAGTCCTCCGCTTCCTCTATCATTTGGTCTAATCTGTCCATCTGCTGCTCACACTCACAGCAGTGGTCCAACAGACCACACAACAGATTTTCTTTTGATAAAAAAAGCTGAGTGGACAGAGAAGAACAGCTCTGTTTTCTACTCTCTCCTCCACTCAGGAACACTCCCTCCCTCCGATCCCTCTTTTCAAAGAGTCACAAACAACCCACGGTCTATGCACAATGTAAAAAAATAAAAATAAAAATGGCCCTTCAGAGTTCAAACACACAACAGACGTTCTCAGAGAGGATTTAGCCTCACCTTGAAGTTGTGGACTTTCTCCGGTCTGGGTGTCAGCTCACTGTCCTTGAGCGTGGCTCTGCGAACCAGTGATGTGAGCTGTGAATAGGCAAATAGTTTAAGTGGTTGCCAGAAAGTGGCTGGAGGTTTCTGTGGCCCCATCCTCATTCCCAGAGCAGCAGCCAGAATATCCTCCTGATTGGCCTCCCGCTTGGCCTTTTGCACCAGGGACTTCTCTTCCTTCTGAGCCTCGTAGGACTCTTTAGATGGCATTATTCTGCTGCTGGTGTACAATTCTGGCAAACAGTTCCAGTAGCAAAAGTACAAACCAAAGTACACAGGTAAAGACGCTCAGACAAAGTTTGTTTGGAAAAATGTTACTTCCATCCCCCCCATCAAAAGAGAGGATTTTAAAGTTGAAGCTAAAGTCCAACAGAACAAAAACAGTAGTCCTTAATAAATCCTCTCTTCAGCAGTGACAGAAGATGAAGTGGAGCCACTGTGAGGGGAGTGCCAGCTTTTATACAAAAGAGGTGCAGCCCACAGCGCTCATGTGCTTCTCTGGGAATGTGTATGCAGATAAGCTGAGTGGCTGCACTAATCCTCTCCTCCCTGTGCAGAGCTGATACTCTCCCTGGAACACAGACAGCACAGTGTTTGGTACATGGATGCTGCTGGGGCTGTCAGAGTGAGGGGGAGGAGAAGGGAGGCGGAGCCACATCATCCACGGCAGGATTAAATGAATCCCACCAGCCAATGAAAATGCGGATACACTGGCATTGTAGTAGCCACTATCCAGCCACCCCCTCTCACACTCCATCCAGCGTCTCCATCAGATATCCAGGCAGGGGAGGATGAAATGAGAGTGGGATGATAATGAGCAATGAATGAGTCATGCAGCAGGAGTGAGCTGCGGAACTCACATCCACACTGGCCCGTCACAAGGAGAAGCTATTTTCAAAATCTGGTTGCTGAAGAAACTGGTCACGACTGGGACCAACAAAAGAACCAAGCATGAGGCCAACATATGATGTCATAGATTATAACACACATGATCATGACTAACTGTAAGTTGTCACGAGGGTCACAAGAAATAAAGTGGTGAACAAAAGGTTTGGGAAAAATAATTAAGTGTCACTACAGAACAGTACCTCTAATAAGAGTGATAATCTTAGAGAAAATGGACTGAGACAATCAACAGTGAAGCCATAGAAGTGACTGGTGTTGGAGCTGGGGCTCCACATGTATTTGAGAAAGCAGGTCCACTGCTTTACTAACATCATTATTTATAACAAACATTTTCATACATTAATGTAGGTTCCTACCTTTGAAACCTTGCTTTTTTCTTACTTAAATACCAATGTGAAAAGAAAATAAATACTTTGTGCTTAAACGTATCTTAAAATTGTCTTTTTTAACTATATTTTCCCCAGTGATATATTTCTCTTGGGATTTATTCATTTTCTACCTTCTACTGTAGTCCTGTTCAGTGCTGTACTGGGAGCTGGACCCAATCTCAGCAGTCACCAGGCGTAGGGGGTTGGTACACCCTGGATACATTCACCAATCCATCCCAGCAGCCACATACAGAGACAGCCATTCACACCTATGGGAAATGTATAATAAACAATTAACCTTCAACCTCAACTCTTCACATTTTTTAAACGTGGAAACTGCAATGCGAGTATTAATACTTATATATATATTAATACTTAATATAAAAAAATCTTCTTGCAGTAAGGCAAGAGCACTGGCCTCTTCTTCCACCGTGTGGCCTGTAGGGACTGATGTGTCATTAGTTCACATGTCTTTGGATTGTGCTGCATTGATGATTTGATTGTGATTTTGACTTGAGTTTTTATATGTTTAGGCCATATTATAATGTTGAATATATTGGTACACACAAGCCTAGTGTGTTACTGCAGAACTCAGAACTCTACTGCAGTACAGCCTCTTAGTAACTGATACTGCACCTGCATTGAAAGCCCTAATCAGTGCTCTGGTTCAAAATAATTCAGTGTTCCATTCCCTTTGTTATATACTGTAGGTTCCCCAAGTTCTCTTTTTGTACCTCGTTCACACCTTACCATTTTACCATGCACACTGAAACCGATCACAAAAAAAAAAAAAAATTTAAATACAAAAACATTCAGTCTAGTCATTTTTGCTGTCCCGTGAACTCCTGCCATGCATTAATTCTTTTTCAACATTATGATAAAATATACAATACATTTTTAACAATATGTGGCTGTTCCAGAAACAGCAGCTCTTTCTTTGTCTTGGTCTCAGTGTTGGATATAAGCTCTGTATTGTGCGCATGCAAATGAAGCATCAAATATAGCACTGCCGCAGTGATGTGGGAGAAGAGATGTGAAAGCTGCGTCTGTAACTCACACTGCACGTCAAATGTGATTACACTCCCACGTCTTTGGGCCTGATTCAGACTCTAGCTGTTGGAGTTCTCACCTCCATGGAGCTCAGCTGGAGAAGAAACTCCTGTACAGACCCCGCTGAGGACTGTAATATTTGTTGACGCCCAAAACTCAACAGAACAAAAGCTAACACAGCAGTAGAAAGCAGATAGGGCCTTCTTAGCACCACAGTGCTAATGTAGGCTAAGGGTCCAGCCTGTGGTGTCTGTCAAGAACACCAAAGAGTTGAAGCAGAAGGTTTTGTGTTCAGTTTTTCTCTCTGATGCTCAGTGAGACTCTCTGCCCAGGAGGATACCTGGGAGAGGTGCAGATAAAAGACGCTAAGAGCCTTTTATATGCACTGGTTCACCCCGATCCTGAGCACTTTGGTGCTTTCTGCCACTGTCTAATTGTGTTGCCTGCCGTTAAGTGCAGAATGAGCATCTGACTCCCAGGATGTGGTTTACTTTGAACACAGCTCTAATTGACAGTGATTGATTCACTTGTTTCCCCAAACATGTCCAGAGATGGAACTCATGTGTGGATGTAAACAGTGCAGTATCTTTTACATCTCACTCACGTCCATCTGTGTCTAGCCTGGACGTCTGGACATAGAGTATAACGACCAAATGGACAAAGCCTTCTGGTTTTAAAAGAGAAGTAAAAGGAAGCAGGATGGGCATTGTTATTGGAAAACACTGTGTGCAATAGACTGGAGATAAAAAAACTGACTTTGGAAATGGACTTTTTGGAAAAGTGAAGCTCTACAAATACATAAGTAGTACATTAGAAGTAAAAACCTGCCTCCTTTATTTACTTCCACTATCAAAATCTGAAACTTTGACATTATTTTATTTTAACACTATTTCTTGAGGCCTGCTGCACTGTATTTGACCACATTACGCTGAGGATTGTGCTGAAATTTCTGCTGAAATTTCTGCTGATGCAAAAACTTGTTACATGAGCAAATGGCCTTCTAATGTACAGCTGACCAAGCAGATACATCATGATCCATTAAGAGGACATCGGTACACACCCTGTGATGTTAACACTCAGGAAAATGACTTATATCGCTGTCACGTAACACAGCTTGTGTAACATTTAGCTGTGAATTTACAGCTTAACAAACCAAGTGATGTACAGCACCGGAGCCTTTGAATTCATGTCAAAGCAATCCTGATCCATCTACCATACCCTGCAGCAATACAGCAAATCATTAGATTACGTAATGTTATATAAGCAGAAAGTAGAACACCATGCCCAGAGAGTAAGACTGGAGGTTATATTGAAATAGAAAGAAATTATCTCAGCAAGCCTTCAAAACACAATTAGAACTCCCAGAAAACATTACCAGATATACAGCAGCAATAAGAAGCTGTGGAACATACATTTCCCTATGATCAACTATCAGTGTTTTCTTTTTTATTTGGCATAATTGATGATTTTGGCAAATCACATGTGCCTACCTAAAGTATTAACAATTAAAAATGTATAAAATAAATAAGCAAGGATTAATTGTAGAACAACGTAAACAAGAGTTGCATGCATTTGTAGAAAATCCCAAATGTTCATATAATGCAGTACAATCTGCTGCTGCTGCTTTTCTGGTTCTGCAGGATATCTGAAACAAATGACCTCATACAGCTACAGAGACATCGAGATAACCTGAATCCAGCCTGGGCTTTGACAGTGATGTATGGTGGACCGCTATCAGAGTTTAGTATTCATGCAGCAAGGTCAGAGCATGCGTAGGACACGCTGTTTACACCACATTGTGTTGGGTTATTTTCCCAGCTGGATTTTAACCCAGGTTGTTGTCCTGTAGTACTACATAGTATGGCGTCAATACGACTGTATGTACTGTTTATAAAACTGAGCTTTTGTCAGTAATACAGCAAAGGCAATGTATAAGCTGATAAAAAAAAAATTACATTGATAAACCCCAATGAAAATTTCATACAGGAGTCAAGTCAAGCTCAATTGTGAGCCAAAATTCACAAAATACATTTGTCTCAAAGGGGTTAGTTTAGTTTTAAAATTAGAACTGAAATGGTCCTCCATATAACAGGAAAATGATACAGGAATGTGACTATATACAGTCAATTTTATATTGAGTTTATAGCAAAAATACAAAATAAAACACCAAAATTCTCAATTATAATTGAAAACCAATGCATTTTGGTAACAGTGGGGTGAGAAAAAAAGGTAGAAATCTCCAGCAGATCAAGGATCAGTTTTGCTGTGTCTATACAAAGTACAGTCCCACACGCTGTTAAAATGCAAACAGTACAGTTGTGGGAAGCACTTTATCATTAGTTTTAGATGTGACATCATGACTAAAAAGCCTTAGTTGTTCTTATCTTGGTGAGTCTGTGGAGAACAGTTCCTCCCTCACCTGCAGTGTGAATGCTAGTGTTAAGCTGATAAATGACTCACTGTATATCAGCTATTTTTACAACAAGGTGTCAACACCAGTGTAAAAATACTCCTTTACTAATGAGTAGGGTTGTCATGATTATAAATTTCCTTGGTTAGATTAATGTCAGATAATTTTTCACAATATTACAATTATCACCATTACTACACGTTAATTGATTTTACAACACTATAAATGCAAAAACGTTGTGTATTTCTCTCAAAGGATGCGAAGGCCAATTATATGTTATAACGTATTTCTCTCAAAGGATGCGAAGGCCAACAGGACCTCTATCATTCTTTTAAGTAAACCATACAAAATATACTTACATTACAAATTATATGACCCAATGGTTGTATATTAAAGTATCTATTTAAATTAATTAATAATTATTTAAATATTTAATTCATGAAATCATGAATTTCAATTTTAATCTGTTTTTAGTCTAATTTTAAGAAGTCGCATATAAAACGTACGTATAATTTTGGTTCTTTTCATTTTGTGTTAAAATTACAATGGCATACACAAATTAGCAAGCCCAACGTGTACTCACTGATGGGAGAAAGCTAAATGAGCTAATGCTAAATGTTCACTTATTGCGAACTTTGTGAACAGCGAGATAGTGTTTTTTCACTGCAAATCACTGCAATCTGACGCTAAAACTGAGCAATAAAAAATGATGAAATAAAATTACATTTAAAAAGCGATCGAACTTACGCTATGTTAACATACCAACAGTATAATTCACCCAACCGTTATGTCCTAACGGTTTCACTGAAAGCCGAACCCATATCGTACTCAATTCAATCTTACGTTAGGAAACAATGACGTAATTTAATCCAGTTAATGTGTATTTACCTTCACTTTGGCGAACAATGTCGGGTGGTTGCCTTGTAGGTGAAGCAGCATGTAGACTGTAATGTTTGACACACCGCATTTGTAAGGCCTACTTTAAAAGCTGGCAAACCATCATCCACGATGACAACTAAAATAATCCCACACGGCTGATTTAACGCGCTGGTCCACATTTTCCCCACGTGGTCACGCCTCTCTTCTACTTGTAGAGACCGAAAACAAAACACAAGTCGCAAAAAGCGGATGTTGTGCAACTTTGTTTTCGTTTCGTTTTAGTTTAGATTAACTATAGTTCCGTTATATATTATTTTTTGGCGGTATTAAGGATAAAATAACCGTAGCGCTTAATACCGCAAGTAATTGTAATATCAAGAAATACTGACATCCCTATTAATGGGTGGCCGCAGTGTGTTCAATGTACTCAGTAAGTAATATTTCCTCAGTAACAATAGAAATAATTATATATTATATATGTTGCTGGAAATTTTATAGTAAAATTTTACAACTTTACAGTAACTGCTGCGGGTAATTATGCCTAGCAACAGTTGCTAAGACACAGAGTGAGGGCGGGGACAAAGTCATGGGAACATATTGTGAGTTCTTTGGCTTTGTTCCTTTAATCTACATGTGACCTTTATTTGCTCTGATCAACGTTAACTTCATGATTGTGGAACCAACTCAAAGCCCAGTGAGGCAGCAATGCACCCAACTTAAATGCCAGAAAATGAAGTGGAAGCCAGCCACGTGGGATTACGAACAGATTCCCCTTAGAGTTGACAGAATAGAAGGAAGCGACATGACATCTGAGGAGCACCAAAAACTAGTCTTCCATATTATGCTACACCTACTAAAATTGGAAGGTAATGAAACTTGAAGAACATGAAGGAATAGTGCATCAGGAAAAAAAAGATATTTAAAGACGGACAGGAAGGAGGCGAAAGGGACTCGACCGACTTGAGGACGACATTTGTGCAGCACACACCTATGTTCTGTCTACTACAAGACATCAACCAACGGTCACCATGAATGTTAGACAACAGCAGATTACAGTTGAAACACTGAGACCCATTGTGGAACCTGCACTGGGGAGTTTGACTAAAGACCAGTGGTTACGTTTACAGTCAAATGAACCAAATCATAGCACCATGACTGTGTTTGCAATTCTGATCCTGGATATAATCTCGAAAATTTCAATGGAAATCTCAAAGACTATGCAACAATCCATGTCTGAGGCTGATGTGGAAGAAACTATTGGCACCTCAGTGTTTGACAGTATCGCAGAAGTTGTAGGTGTCCAGAACAAAGAACCGTTCTCCCCTGCATTCCAACAGATGATTGTGAAGGAGGTTCATAACACCTTGAGCCTTTCCCACCCAAATGGAGTCCAACACTCAGTTCCCATAATACCATGCACCACACTTCCTCACGACCTGGACAAGATGGCGAGTACTGTTGCTGAAATACTGAAAAGTTTTGCCGCTGAGAGGAAACTTGTACCCGTTCCACCACGGAGAGAGAACATCTCTGTAGAGAGAATGAGTGAGACATGTGTGCAGGCAGTAATTAGACAGGAGGTGAACAATCTTACAGATTTTCTCTTAGTCAATGACTATGACTTAGACTATGGGATGATAGCAGCAGAAGCTGATGAGGATATAAAAATGGCCACCAAGGGCTTTAGTTGGCCCATGGCCATGCCCACTGATGTTCAGAAGGTCAGCTTAAAGAAGTGTTTTGTGAAGAGATTAGCCAAAGTGTCTATCTATCATATATTGGCACAACTACGGACAATATACCCCAATGACACAAATGTGCAGAGCAGAATGAAATTGGAGGCATTCATGGCCAGTCTGGACTCTCTTTTGGAACATGGACAGAATGAAAAATTCAGGATAAATGTCTGTCATCTTATCTATAATCATCTCACCAGCAACCATCCAGAAGAGGCCTCTGCTTGTGCGTTACACTGCCACCTGTACTCTGATGTATGGAGTAGAGTGACCTCCATGCAGGCACTAATGAGATGGTGGGTGACCACTCAAAGTTATTATCACATCAGCTGCGTGTGGGACAATGTGCACTTGGCGAAGCAAGACGACGTCAAAAGAGCAGCAATCTGGTCAATTGTGACCTACTTCCTAATGATGCTGGTGAGGAGCACAGATGAACAAGCAGACCTGGAAAACACACGCGTTGCGTACTACAAGCAGTACGAGGCCATCGCACAGCATCTGGTTTACAGAACGTGGACAGAACTCAAGGACAAAGAGATCCATGTCCCTCAGACATCCAGTGAGTATTATATACTCACAAAGGCACTGTTCAAGGTCCTGAGTAGGAGGTGGGGTTCTCTAGCCCAAATCTTTGTGGGTGTCACCCTAAATAATGAAAAGTTTGGCATTTTATTTGCTTCAGTGCTCAAGAAGAAGATTGCAAAAAAGACCAATTTTTTCTCCAGTTTTTGCAATTTTTGGTATCCTTCCTTTTAAAGTTACTGCAAAGTGACACCTTTTTCAGGGTAACAGCCGGGGTAAAGCTGGATGTTGGAGAGAATGCGACGACGTCCCTGATGGAAATACATTTTTTATTTACTTTATTTCTGCCAGACAAATGATAGTCTCAGACCTGCAGAACTTTGTTTAATCTATTTTACGACAAATATTGAGCATACTGGCTCTGTGAACACAGTTAAGATGTTTCTTCTTTCTTTGTAAAAATATTTGATTTTTGTTTTGTTTTGTTTTTTTGTGGTAATCCACTGACTTTGGCATGTTCAACAATAAACTTCAATATGAACACAGATAAGGGTATGGATCTGAAAATTGCATAATTCCTGACGTAGGTCAAATTATCATCTAAATTAAATTGATTAAACCCAGAGTAGCTTTGGATTTATCGTAATCATAATGAAATATAACTAAATATGAGCAAATCAAAACAACTTTTTTATGTTTAACTAATCCAAATAATGATTTTTAATATGGGAAAGTAGTAGGAGTGTATTATCGTTGGAAATTCAAATTCAAACTAACAGTTATTTTTAGACACAGTACAGTATATTCACAGCCTTACATAAGTGTACCTCACTCCTACACATCCTCCACATCTCCTCTAGAGAAATAAACAGGAGTCCCTGCAGTAACAGAGGAGACAGAGAGGAATCATGAGGAAAAGTACATTTGTGTGCTCTCTCATTGACACTGTCACATTAAGTACCATCCAGAACCAGCAGGTCGTGACCAGGAGAGGCCAAAGTTGAGTTCACTGAGTGAAGCCATGCAGTGGATCTCAACTTCCTGAGCTGTCCACCATCTGCTGAACAGGGAATCTTGGTGTTAGATTTGTCATTTTTGAAGGAGGCTTCTCTACAGGATATTTAGGTTCAGTTAAATAAGTTTTGTATAAATGATTTTGAATAAATGGTTAAATAATATTGGCTGTCTAAACAAATTCATTCCTTGTTCCAGATATCCAAAGCCTGGCAAAAAAATTACAGGAATCCGTGTTGACAGGAGGTGTGTTGAGTGTGCAGTAAAACCCCCCTCTCTCCCCGGGTGTTTCTAAAGCCCCCACTGTTACACAGGGTAGTGCAGAAGATAAAGATTCGTTGTGTGTGTGTGTGTGTGTCCAATAAATATTGTTCTTTTAATTTGCTGTTTTTATGTCAGTTGAAAAATGTGACGATGCCTCTAATCTAATAGAGATTGTGACCGGTGGTACAGTTCAAAGACTAGGGGAGTATTTTGTGATTAATGACTAACGTATTGAACAATTATTCTTTATTGTGTTGTACAGAGAAATTGAATATATTTGGTTGTGCAAAAAAAACCCCAAACAAAACAACACTTTACACTGGCATCACTAACCCAACTGCAGCGGCCTTCATTCCTGTGATTTTTCTTCATTCTTGGCAAACAGGTGGGCCAGCGTTACATCTTAGCAGCAGGTCACGACTCCCTCATATGTAATCTGCTCCATGTCTGCTCTAGTGGAAGAGAACACAAACCTGTGGAGTGCTAACCATATTGTACGCGTTTACGTTTCACTCGCTGCAGAAGAACAACATCTGTTCACTGTGCCACGTTCCCTGGAGAACAAAGTTGTGAGCTGGAGGAATTTTTTCTTAATACTCCACCAGTTCTTACAAAGAGTAAATTGAGAGGCAATTCCCAGACGCAGACCAAGTATTTTACAGCAACTAATGTGTCAATAATTGTCATGATTTTACTGTCATCTGATCTACGCTGACATTGGATTGTCAAGTGTATGATTTTTTTTTCTATACAATTACAAGACATTTTTGGTTTGAGCTGTTTTTATGTTCAGTTAAATAAGTCTGTTTTGTATAAAAGCAATGTAGTAAGTTCCAAAGTCCCAGAGCTCTCACATATTGACAAGAGTTTTCCGAACCTAAAGAGTGAGGCAGAGAGAGTGTGCATCTGAGGATGGAGAGCCTGTACCGCTACTGAACACTGACTGTTACAGTGTTAATCAGACTGTTTCATAATGTGCACGGATAAGAGTAACATTTTCGAAGCTACAAAAATTCTTGTACTGCAGCATGAAGACAGATGGCAAGTGCAAAATGACTGACATAAATTGCTCCATAAACAACAAAAACCACAAAATAAAAATGTATATTAGTTCAAACCCAATGTATTTGGCTGGCAGCGGTTTTATTTTATAATCCGTAATCCATGAATATAAAACAGCTCAGAAAACCAGGGAACACAGAGAGTGAAGGACATCTGG